CGGCCGTGCCGCGGTGGGGGTGACGCGGGGGGCCGCCCCGCCGGCTCCGAGCTCGGGGGAGGCCGCGGCGGGGGTGGCGCTGAGGCGCTGATGGCACAGCAGCTGGCGAGCTTTGGTATCTCGAGAGTCGGGCGAGTGTGGGAGGGAATTCTGAACGTCAAAGTGGAGCACGTTACAAGAGGGGAGGGTTTAATGTTTACACAGGTTAGAAACGGATATGTCCTCACTCTTCACTCCCCAGTATAGATTTATTGCTTTCATTTAAAAACGCATCAGCGGTATGCTCCCTTGGCTTCCTTCACGAAGTGATGCCGGCTCTTTCTGCAAGTGTAGTTAGAATCTAGTTTCTACTCTATAAATACACTATAAACATTAGCTCAGTGTTGTGTACCATCCATTTAGTTTCTTTGCTTGCTTATTATGGACAGCCTAAGTCTGTGCTAGCTTTACTCGCTTTTAAAAATGAAGACCAATTTAAAACAGCTGACCAAAAGTATGTTACCTCATGTGGAGGCTGGGGTTAAGCAACATCTGTGACCTGGCTAAGAGAGAAAGAAACCTGGGCTTCAGATCAGTTTGTCAAATGATGTTTTAAGCTTTAAATTCTCCATAGTATCAGTTGGACAAGGACATAGACAGAGGCAGTCTTCAATTCTATTTGCATTTTGCAGTGATGGAGGAGATAAAGAGTGCCAGGCTCAGACAGTTTTACTGAGTTCAGCTAATTTGAGAAGTGTTAAAAATGGTGGAGAGTTCTTAGAAGAAAAGTTTGATGAGGGTTTAGTTTTGTAAATCTTGCAAAATGCATGCTTATATTTTCCATAAAGACAATTTAAAGTTTGACCAGTTCATCTTCTGTGTTACAGTGATGCCATCTACTTAAATGTTCATTGATGTTGTTAAAGAACAAGCTGTTAAAATAAGTGTCCAACCAAGAGTTGATATGGACTGTCAGTAGCAGAAACCAATTTGCCACAGGCTCAGTACTTCCCGTAAATCTAGGAGAGTGCATGTTGACTTAACAATAATTGACAGGAGGGTACGATCCTGTCAAGGAAATGAGCACATTTTGATGTCTAATTAGAGTTCTGTGATGGTTTTTTAAACTTCTGTTCTTCAGCTGTTAGATGTTATCTTCTTTTCAGGGAAGTGGACACTGTTGCTGATTGTTTCTGAAAGTGAAATCAAACACCTCCAAATCAATATATACGAGCTTCTGGGAGAATTGATATTCTGTCCAAATAGTTAAGACTTGTATTGACTGTTCAGGCTCTCAATTGTTCCTCTCTGCAATAGTTTATAGATCTTGCCAAGCTAGATGGAATGTAGGAGATACTATCAAAAACAACCTGCTTTGTCTAAAACTTGACTAAAATCTTCAAATAATTTTGTACGTGAAGTTTTTGGTGTTCTTTGGTGATACTGGCATTGGTTTTCAAGCACTTCTGCCATCATCCTTCAGCTTTGTTGCCTAATCACATAATCCTCTCTTTTCCTGCAGAATCCCTAAATACTACAATAAATACTTCTGGTTTTTAAAATCTCACTGCTAAGTCACATCCAAATACTAGTAAGTTTGTTGGTTTGTTGTTTTTATGTCTGTTTCATTGAGTACATTTCCATTGAAGCTTTAAGGTTCCTTCTGTCACAGTATTCAGAGCCTCAGTCTAGTGTTGTGGAATCCCTCACCTGATGTTTTGTACAAAAACAAAGTACTCAAACTTTGAGCAGCACTTGTTACCAGTGCCAGTAGAACAAGTATTGTAAATATGTGTAGAAATGAACTTGTAGGTCTTCAAAGTGAGTGGTAGAGTAATACAGAAAGCAAGATAGTTTTTTAAGTTCAATAAAAATTCAGAATACTGGAAAAAACCTTTTTTCTTCTCCATCAGGATCTCATATTTATGAGAAGCAGCTTGATACAGATCTAGAACCCTGGTTCCCCAAATACCAAATATTTTTTTCTGTGTTTTCTTATTCACTGCTGGGAGCTAGGCTGGGAAAGCAGTGTGACTTTTAAATGGGGAGAGTTTGGAAAACAAACTCTGACTGTATTTGAATTTTTTTTTAAAGTCTTCCTATAGATGCAAGGTGTAATAGATAAATAGAACTGTTGTCTACTAATTCTCAGTTCCTTTACCTGGTACTAGGACAAACTGTCCAAGCTATTCTTCTAGACAAAAAGGACATTCCCCCCTCCCCTTCTTTTTTTTTCTTCAGTTTCTGTGCCAGTGACTTGGCAAGGAATTGAAACAGAGCTTTCACCTATTACATTAAAGGCACATAGCTGTAAGCATATAGTTATAATTCTTTATGTCTGTTAATTAATTTATGACACACTGACCACGCTGGATAGGACCAGAAACAAATGTTATCTCTTATTTGCTATAGAAGAGGTAAGGTGGTACAATAATTATTCTGTGAAGCAGACATTTATCTCAGTTTCAGCTGTAAACAGTTGTACTTCTTCAGGGGGATTCTTTAAAAAGGAAGCTACAAGAGTCCAACCCACTTCATGTGATACAGCTGTTAAAACAGGGGACAAAAAAATATGTTTGAGTCTAGAAATAAGCTCTTACAGTGATCTGCTTTTGTTGCCAGAGCAAAAGCAGTATTAAAACAGTACTACCTTAATAAGTCTGATTCTAAACAGGAGAAAATAAGAAAATGTCTTTACTTTTTTTAGACATGAAAACTGAATGAAACTGTTATATTCCTCTGTTCACAGAGACTCAAACCCTTATGTTCTAAGGAGAAGAGAAACTTGACACGGGGAAAAACACCATGAAGCTTCTCTGTGCTTCACTTTCTCTTGCTGTGATATGCTGGCTAGCTGAAGGTACCCTATCAAAAACAGATGCAAAGAAAGGTGCTACAAAAAAACTGGAGGAAAAGGTAAAGGAAATAACTGAAATTCTTGTCTTATCTAACATGTGCAGTGAATTAATTGAACTTTGGTAAGTGGCCTCTACTTCTGTTAAAACAGTGTTAATGCATTTCTGCTGAAGCTTATATTCACAGATAAAACTTGAAACTGTCCTTTCCTTCAGCTTTTCTGTGTGTCACAAATGTTCATTTCTTGAAACATACGATGTAGACTTCTGCATCTGTATCCTCTATGCAAGTTGCAGATGCAGGAAGTTTTTGTCCCTTCAGGGAACACACTTCCATCCCTTTGGAAACCAGGGTGGGGAACAGTAGTTTGGGCCAAGAGCTCTAGATCATTTACTGGTGGAATGGAGCCTTGCCAATGGGAAGGCTGTATCCTGATGAAAGAGTTTGAAGAGCATTCTAAGCAGTAATTCTTTTGCAGGCAGAAATGATTCAGAATCGCACAATACGCAGAGCCAGCATGCTGAAGTGTCTCTTCACTTGCTGAGCAGTTTGTTGTTTCCTGTCATTATGCATATACATCTGTCAATGTTTGTATTACTTGCTCAACATCTACCAGGAAGCAAATCTCATCTGCAGATAGTGAGGGTAATATAAGGTGTTAAGTCAGGTCAAATCCCTACATTCCTTACAATGAATCAATAGATGGCTTCTACGTACCCAGCATGCATGTCTTACTAGATCTTCTCATTCTGTTTTTATCTGCTAGGTCAGTTAAAGCACATTCCCTAAAGGAGAGCGTTTAAAATCTTGACCTTCAGTAACCACAAAGCAGCATTCTCAGATTAAAATATATCCAGTTTAAAATTTGTCTTCAAATTTTTGGTTAAGAACTTATGGGTAGCACGACAGAAAGTGTTGATTACAAAACAGAACACCATCATCTGTCATAAATTATGTTCTTTACTCTTATAATAGCTTGGATTTTGGGTTTTTTTAATATGCTTTTTACTTTCCAAATAAAGTAAGTTTACTGATGATGACCAATAATTTCTGAGGACTTGTGTGTTTCAGTTCTAAATCAAAGTACTCTGCATCATTTAAAAGGAGTACTCAGAGTTTAATGAAGTGATTTGTTTTGCTGTTGCTTTTGAAGTCTGTTGCCACTGAAAGTGGGCATTTCAAATAACTGGTTCTAATAACTGTCTTCTCTCCACAGAAGCTGCATTCTGATAAAAATGTTCAGGACCGGGGATTGGTGGTTGTGGATCCAAAAGCAAAGGATATTATACTGGAACATAAAAGTTACTGCTCCAAGAAGATGAAGGAACGACATTTCTCAGGAGATGTTCTGGGATATATTACTCCTGTAAGTTGATACATTTAATAAAATTTGTGCTTTGAATGAATATGCAGCAGACTGTGCTAAACTGCAACTTTGCATCCCTGCTATAAAAGTATTTTTATAGTAATGGGGGCTGCTGGTTAAATACAGTCAAATAGCCAGACAAGTATTTGAGACTTGATTTGGGCTTCAGGTGGTCTCAAACCCTTGTTCTCCCATCTGTCTCTCGGAGGCTGTTTAGGTTATATTGTTTTTCTTCTCCCTGGCATTGAGGAATACACTGAGAGCAGGTACTGGGTGTGCAGCTGCAGTGGGAGCTGCAGGTTGTGCCTGGGTGGGAGCCGTGACCTGGTGGTGACCCTTCAGACAGCAAAGAGCACAGGGACCTGAGGCACCGGCCAGGGAACTGGACACTCGGACACAGCAGGAGCCAAGGGCTCAGCAGAGAGACTCCAGACTATCCCAGGCATGGAGGGCACAAAACCTGGGCATTCCTTTGTTGGGGGTCCCTCCCCAGCGCACCAGCTGGAGCTATTTCTGTGTTACTGCACCACAAATAAATTATTGTAGGGATCCAGACATCTGGGACTGTGCCATGGGAAACCCGGGGCTGAGCCAGTAAGGAAACCCTGTCTGAGCATGGGGTGTGCAGGGAGCCAAGAGGGACACTCCTGGAGTCACTGGAATTGCCCTCAGCAGTGAAAGTTTGGAGTGGTGGGAGTGTGACTGCCAAGAGTGGCTTGCGGATGGTCAGACAGGGAAGCTTCTTTAACACTGGTTTTAACAGGGATGAGAGTATTTTTCCTGTCAGTGGTGAATCAGGTGAAGTTGCAGTGAAGTAACAATTGTATGCTGCTGTCAACCTGATGTCTTTTGCTATTCTGTCTCCTTCAAAGCATTCTTTCTTGAATGATAAATATTTCATCCTTTTTTTCAGAGGATAGTTTTCGCTTATTTTTGTCTTATACTGCTCAAAAGACAAATAGGTGCCCTATAGATTTTCACCTTTCTCAAGTTCTCTTGAACATAAATTCAGAGTCTGTAGATTCAAAACTGTGTGGGAATCTACAAGCAACTTGCTGTAGTTCAGTTGAATTAGCACAATTTGAAGATTGCCTTTCATGTAGCTATTAGAGCTTCCAGAGTACTTTCTTATTTAAATGAAAGCAATATCCCATAAAGATATCAAGTTTCCTCAAATGAATGAAGAAGGATCTAGGAGATGATTATATTTCTGTTAAAGAGTTTATATTGCTCAAAAGTGAAGTGAACTGCATATCTTGCTTCTGAGTCTCTCATGTTTTTTTCTCTCCTTTGTTTTTCAAGTGGAACAACCATGGCTATGACATTGCTAAAATTTTTGGAAACAAATTTACGCTAATCTCACCGGTTTGGTTACAAGTGAAAAGGAGAGGGAAGGAAAGGTTCCAGTTCACTGGGCTCCATGATGCTGATCAAGGTGTTACTTTCTTTTTCTTTGAATATGAATTGCAGTATTGTTGTGACTAGGTAGATTTGGCATACTAGGTGGGTTTTGCTGGCTCTGCCTCATGGTGAGGTACTTTCATCCACTCCATTTCTTGGGGTTTTCTTCAGAGTGAATGTCTTTCTATCCTCATCTGCTTCCACATGTGTACATACTTTATTTGTCAAAAAATGTAAGTAGCGAGGTTGGCTTTTCCACCATGCTATCCACAAAGCTCCTCTTAAAAGAGGAAAGGGCAAACTACAGGGAAAAACAGTCTTGATGTTGCACTGTGCAGCTATTTGCCTGTTGTGGGTTTTGTTCTATTTCTTTGCAAAAACCTTTAGGCAAATTTGTTTTAGAAAGGGAAGATAAATTTAATTTGAAGAGAATTTTTTCCCTTCGTTGTGAGGAAAGTGGCAGCAAGTTTAAATTTCAGCTAGTATGTACTACTTCATGGGTTTGAAGTTAATTGAATGTGAAATTTCATTTGAAATAGCTATAATTCTTACCATGTTAGTGCCTACTAATAAATTCATCCTAGTGCAATGACTGCCAAAAGGAGTGGATGGGACACTTTGAACTACCATCTGAAAAAGTAAAACATTCCTCCCAGGTGATGCCTGGTGGCTGCAGAAGTGTTGTTCTTAATAGGGAGTAGGGTAGTTTCCATGATGAGGCAGAACTGAGCAGGGAGGGGCTGGGTGAGGAGGCTGTAGTGAATGCTGTGGTGCAGGTTCATGGCTTCAGATTCTGTGCATCACAGGATGTTCTGTCTGGGTGGATTATGAACTGCTAGTCTGTGGCAGGAAGATATGTATAATGAAACTATGGTACATCATTTGAAGAATGCTTGAAAATACGTTGCCATTGTCAGCATCATTTATATTTTATCAGCTGTCTTACTTGATACTGTTTGACAGGCTGGATGAAAGATGTGAGAAAAACCTCCAAAAACATCAAAATAGGTGAGCCTCTGGTTTATGATTGTTTGCTTGCTTTTTATCTTCTTTAGCTGCTGGGAGAGAAAGGAAGGCTTTCTTCCAGGTCAGTATGGCAGGAGGGAAGATTACCTTAGCACAGCTGTATGGAGATGTCTGAGAAGAAAAATTAAAGCAGTTCACTGTAGATAGTTAGGTAACTGAAATGTTGACACTCTTGATGCCTTTATATTTTGCCTTAGCTTCTTGTCTCTGAATAAATCCTGGGTTACAGTGCCCTCCCTGTAGGGATACTAGTATATAACACTGTGTACCTCCCTGGGGAAAGAAGTCTTCAAACTTGTTGCTTGGGGTTCTGTGTAGTTAAAAAGAAAAAATAAATAAGTCCACATCTGAGTCAGTCAGACTTTTCTGCATAAGAGTAGAAAAGTCCTGTTTGTCTCTTCTCCCCTTGAAGCTGGAAACTCATGGGATGTGCTACAGTGTGTCTTTAGGGAAAATTGCAAATATTGCTGTAGAGATTCTGTTGTGCTAGACTTCTTTTATTTGTTTATAGCAAGAATTATATGGAACTGTGAAATGCTTCTTGATTCAGAAGGGAGTATGAAATTTGAAATGTATTAGAAAAATTGAATGCTCAGTCAGATATTTTAACATACTTCACCTGCCAGAGGATAAAGCTTTTGAAATCACTCTATACTTTTCTAAAGCACTCTTTTACAACCATGGTAGTTAGAAGGGGCTTAGACACAGCTCCATAAAATCCATTACCTTTTCCTTTGGGCATGATTGTTGACTCTTCCAACAGTAATTTTTTCCTATTTATGTTTTTAATGTTTTTGGAAAAATAAATTACACAGGCTCAAGTGCTTTCCAAAGTAAAAATTTTTCTTAGGGCCTTGAGTTGAGTGGAAGAGTGAAGTGATATTGGGCTATGTATGGAGTAAATTAGAATTTGAGGCGAACTTTTGTACTTCATTACTGTGGTAGAAGAGATGCACAACTTAAAGATTGGTATCTTGTTTTGTTGTTAGTTTAGGACTCTACTTGAGGCCCTAAGTGGTAGTTCAATTAAGAACATTCAATCAAATGAAAGTATTTTCTCTTAAAACTTGTGTCAGTGCTGATCATTAACTAAACTTAAAACGAAGAAGAATGTTCAACGGTGTCAGTTTATCTATGCTGCTAAAGTTGGTCAGAGTGAAAAAGCAATTATCTCAGTTATGGGATATGATTTTTACTGGCATCTCTGCTTGTATCTGCTGTATTCTGTTACTGCAGAAACATTCCAGTGTAGATAATAAATTCTTAATTTTCACTACTGATTGACTACTTTGCCTTATAGTGCCTCGAATTTTGTTTGATGGCTGGACTTACCAAGACTTTGAGAGTGTTTTTGGTAGTGAAGATGAGATAGAGGAACTTTCCAAGAACATGGTTCTGCTAGCCAAGGTAAAAAAACTATTTATGATGCTTATAAAATAGTGTGAGATGATACTTGATTCCTTTTGTAATATATGTTTTCTCATTTCTCATGATTTTGCATTCTACAAAATAGGATTGGCTCAAAAGAATAATGAGGCAGGATTCTTAATAGTGTGTCCAGTACCTATAAATATGAAATGTAGCAACACTTAAATGTAGGTGACTACAAGTCTAATGTGAGACTACATCAGTCTGATCAACATAACCTTGTTGTCATTGGCAGCTGCACTCATGATTTTTGCCTGCTTTAAATTTCTCTTATATTTCTATTAAAAGTATAATTATTGAGCTGCAGCTAATCTGCTTAGTGGTATTTTCTGGTAGGCAGAAAAAGTGTCGTGGGTACAATGAGTATTGTTTTCTGCACAGGAATACATTCAGGGTCTGTGTGGTAAAGCTAAGGAGCCAATTTTAATACCAAGAATCATTCACTGGACATGTTTTACTGAACATTTTTGCTCAGGTCTGATCAACCAGTTTTCTCAAAATGTTCAGAAACTAGGGAGAAGAGGAATTCTTTTCTAAGATTTCTGGCCAACCCCTTTCCTAATGTCTTTAGAGCTATCCCATGTGTGGGACTAGACAAGTTGCACCCAAAAGATATTTGGCATTGGTTGTTGATTCGTGGCAGCCTGGTTATTGTCAGAATAGGAGTTCTCACTTGCTACATGACATAAAGAAATCTAAAGTGCTCTAGAGGAAGTTGGATATAGAGTTAAACTGAGTAATTTCTTAAAATTTGTGACCGATACATCAATTTTATCTCCTCAGTAACATTGGACCTCTTAAGGAGATCAACTAAAGTACAACAGTATCCTTGATCATGCTAAGAATAAATTTTCAAAAGAGAGACTAATTGTGGGAGATATTTGGAATCATGTCTATGCTAAATTAGCATTTATGTCTTTAGATTCAAGAGATAATGAGTTTTTTCCCTGATACACAAGTAAAAGTGTGTCAAATTATTTGTTTAACAACCACCTTTCATTAGTGTCTGAATTTTCCCAATACAATATTGGTTTATTCTGTAAGAGTAGATATCATGGATAACTAATAGAGATTTTCAACTTTTGCATGTTTGTGTTTGTTAAATTATTTGTTTCTCTTGGACTTCTCCAAGAAATGCTGTGTTAAAGATGAATCTGGTGTAAGAATACAAAGCATGTTCAATCTGTAATAGTACAAGAAAAATAGCTACATGGTCAGTAACTGTGTGTTGATGACAATTCTTTTCATTTAGAATGAAAATTTTGATGGTTTTGTAATTGAAGTTTGGAGTCAGCTGGGAAATCAAAAGCAAACGTGAGTATAAATTTCTAGGATGCAATTCCTAAAAATCAGCTCCTTTAAAACATCCTTTTAATCTGTCCATGTTGATTTGAATATGTCTTTATAAATAAATACATTTCATTCTAGAACAACTAAAGGTTGTTCTGCTTGTCTTACAATGTTGTAAGTAGAAGGGTTTACCTCACTCTACATGAGATCAAAGATTACATAATAATCTTCACAGTGGGTTTAGCAGGCCATGTTAGTCTTTCATAGTTGAGTTTTGCATGATGTAACTTTTACGAGGATGTGAAGGGTGCATCAGTTGCATACTCACTCCCATGCTGGCACTCGCCTTTATTGTACCACTGTTTGGTTTGGGTTACTGGGTGAAGCTAGCAACAGTGTGAGACTTTGAAGACCTGAGGCAAACACCAAACTTCTGCTACATGAGGAAAATTCAGAATAAGGTGGTGGAATTAATGATTTGGTGCAGGAATCTGAAGATTTTGTGTTAGTTTCTCAGGAAATCCAGGCATCCATTTCTGTAAAGTGCAGTGTTTCTTACAGATCTCTGTTGCCTACAATGTCTGGGGGAAAACAGCTTCAAGGAAGCTGCACAGAATGCAGAGTTTATTATGGAGGGCTTTCACCTTTCAGAAAATGGTTACTTCAGGTTATTCTGGTTAGGGAAAATGCTTCTGTCTGATGGCATATATTAGTTACTTCTCAAAATGAGTTTACTATTAGCAGTCCTACCTTTTCCCTGTAAAGTTAACACTTGGGAACAAAAAATTGAAACTGCAGAATCTTCTTAGCTTTGTAAAGGGCTCCATCAGTTGCCCTGCAATGAGTAATCCTTCACCTAGATGCTCTTGCTTATAATTAGGTTGTTCCTAATTTGCCAGGTTGTTTCTAAGAGCTTATCTGTATCCTGAGCTCTGAACCTAATGCAGTGTCTTAATAAGGTAGCCAAGAAGGTGACTGAAGCAATTAGTAACTGCCAGTCAGGTGGTAGTGGTCATTTTATTTATTGTACTTACTGTATTTAAGTAAAATCAATAGTTTTCCTATTAGTTAACACAGATATAAAACAGACTGTGTAACTGTCATTGTAAGACTCACTGAACATAATTTTAAACACACTGGCATGAAAGTGCTGTATTGCAAATGGAACACATGAGCAAAGCATACTTTTCTGTTAGCTCCAGGGTAAGTTTATTTGTGGCATGGTAAAAATACGGCTCTCTGCCAGGAGCAATGTTGGTTTAAAACAGTTTCACAGAATCACAGAATAAGCTGAGTTGGAAAGGACCCACAAGGATCATTGAGTGCAGCTCCTATCTCTGCACAGCACCATCCCCAAGAGTCAAACCATGTGTCCAAGTGTATTGTCCAAAGGCTTCCTGAATTCTGTTAGGCTGGTGCTGTGACCACTTCTATGGGGAGCCTGTTCAAGTGCCCAAGCACTCTCTGGGTGGAAAACCTTTTTCTAATATCCAACCTGAACCTCCCCTGATGCAACTGTTATCAGAGAGATCAATGTCTGCCCCTCCTCGTCCCCTCATGAGGAAATTGTAACTGCAGTGAGGTCTCCCCTCAGTCTTCTCCAGGCTGAACAGATCAAGTGACCTCAGCTGCTCCTTATACAGCTTCCCCTCAAGGCCCTTCACCATCCTAGTGCTCCTCCTTTAGACACTCTCTAATAGATTTATGTCATTTTTATATTCTGGCACCCAAAACTGCCCCCAGCACTGGAGGTGAGGCTGCCCCAGCTCAGAGCAGAGTGAGACAATCCCCTCCCTTGCCTGGCTGGTGATGCTGGGCCTGATGCCCCTCAGGACAGGGTTGGCCCTCCTGGCTGCCAGGGCACTGCTGGCTCAGATCCAGCTTGGCTCAGATCTAACTTCCCATAGTCCAGGACCCCCAGGTCCCTTTCCATGGCACGGTTTATCTAACTGTGTGCTGGACATTTTGAAATGAGAAACAGGTGTCATAAAAACTGCGCACTAGAGGAGATACTGCTGGTTAGTTGCCTTAGCCTTCAGTTACCTGAATACTATTCAGTTACCTGAAACACTACTTCCATTCACTGTGTTGTTGATGGAAAGGAGTGGGAAGTATTTTCCATAATTTCTGAAAAGGAAAGGGTTCTCACACCATATAATGGTAACTGGATCCTTTCCTCTGAGTAGGTAACATGTAATCGTATGTGGCCACTGTGAAGAACACTTTAGGATTATCCTAATTTAGATGTGAGATTGTTTGTCACAAAAGCATAAAGGGAAACAGAAGTTAGGAACTGCAGGTTTTTCCTCCATTTCAAACCTGATCTGATTTAAGTGCTTCATTGGAAACTCATTGGTGGGGTTTTCCTCCTTTTATTGCCATGTCCCTAAAAATGGTTAGGATGTTTATGTTTATGGTTGGGATGGCAGCATTCTGAATTATGCCAATTGAGACAGAAAGCTGAAGTTGGGCTCAGTGTGTAGTTAAAGCTGTTTTGTGAATGTAGGAGGCTCACATCATTACACGGGAATTTTGTCTCATGGTGCCTCTAAGTTGTGGGACCAGTGTCTGCATTTTGAGATTGTGTTTTCCTATCACTTGCTTTGAAGCTCGGTGGCTTGGCTATCCAGTGCCCCAAGTTTTCCCTAATAATGTTATTTGCAGGGAACAAATGTTAGAACAGATCTTAAGGGGCAAAGTTAAGTGAACTTATTACATTTTCAAGCCTATTTTTTTTATTGCACTTTGACTGCTGTTACTTTGGGATTATTTCATTTTGAGTAGCAGAGCAAGAGTTTTTTCTGGGTAAGCATGTGTGGTCTTTTGCTTTGCTTGTCGCTGGAGTTGGAGCAGTGCAATGCCTCCTTTAGCCCACAACGTGGCAATATTGTAACATGAGTCACACCTGATCCTCCTTCAGCTTGTGTCTTTCGAAAGTGGCAAACACCGGTAGTAAAGCAAGTTCTTAACCTAGGAAAGGTGGGGATTAGTTCGCAGAGGATGTCAGCACAGAGATGAACCCTCATCTTTTGGAGAGGTGAAGTGTTTGTAGGCTGGTATTTGTGTATGCTTCAAATAAATCATCTGTCGTAACTGTTAGGTTCAGTGTAGGCTTTCCTAGTTCAGATCCTTCAAGGTCAAATGCCTGGAAGTAGCTTAACCTGCTTCTAGTTAAAGGGACAAAAGATCATAATGATGCTCCTGAAAACAGATATTTTACCTTCAAACAACTTTCAGAGCAGTCTGACAATACAAGGAGACCTGCCTAGCTGATACAGTTAATTCATGTTATTAAATGTGAACATGTTTTAGTTTAAAATTAAAATAAAAAAAATCCCTTTTTTTTCCTGACATACAAGGAATAACCTCACATAAGCAGATAGCAACAGGTTATTGAAAGTAAACACAGATGCATAAAAATGTATGGTCTTACACTGCAGCTGCCAGCTTGCTTTATGCAATGTTAGAGCAGTGGTGTCTATCCAGAGAAAATATTTCACTGAGAATCATTATGGTTCATTTTTCAAAAACTAAATGAAGTGCGTACCTAGCTATTAAATTAATAAATGGCACTCAATTATTCTATATATTTCATATATCTGTGTTGAGGGAAAAGCTATGGAAATTTTTCCTGTAATGTTTTTAACTGTGTTACGGAAAAGATCTCTGACCCATCCAACGCGCTGCCTTAGTGGTGCAGGAACACTTGATTCAGCACAGGTTTCTTTATCCAGCTTAAAATGACAACAGAAGGATTTGCTTATGGAACACTTGTGCTTGATACGATGTTTCAGCTACAAAATCAGCATCCACTCTCGAAAGACAATGTGCAGTGATACTTCCTAGCAGAGTGCACCCAGGAGCAGGTGAGTCTACAAAAGAATCTGAAAGCCTGCAGATTAGTGTCCTAACTCACCAATAAACTGGGCTATGATTTTAAAACTACTTCATATATCAGAAAACTGGATTAATTACAGCTGAAGGTCTCTTCTCAGTTCAGATGAGCAAGTGTCCCCATGAGGTACCTCTTTTCAGTAGCTGAACTGGAATATTGGATGGGCGTTTTTGTAACACATGCTCTCCCTTGATGTTGGGGCTTAAAAATTGCCTAAAAGTTTTGTGATTATTAAATTATGTAAGGATCTTCATGCAACAGGGTAACTGTTCTAGCTCTGCAGTAACACATAAATCCTTTGACCAGCCTCTTTTAGAACCTGTGATCACTGATCATTTTTAAAATTAGGTACATTTAGATGCTTTTCTCTCAGCCCTTTGCATGTTTCTAGAAAACCTTTCTTTTTTGGGGTACTCAAGTTAACTTTAGTTAAATTAGTGAAAATTTTCCTTTGAGGCCCAAGGAGTTATCTAAGAAGAGTCTTCAGTTTCCTGTTTATTCTAGCTGGCATCACAGATGAGGTCAAATGTTGCTAAGAAGTTATGTTGCTGGCATCCACTAAAACATGAAATTCTGTGGTTTCAGGCTTACTAATTACCTTCTGTTTAGTGTCTTCTTAAGCAGAACTAACTCAGACTAGTTTGGGTTTTTTCAAGAAATTTCTCAGTCATTCTGGTTTGGGGTTATAGAATTCCTCTGTAATGCTTAGCAGACTAAAGTATTACATTATATAAATCCTTTGTGCTGCTTTATTTTGGATATCATTAAATATTGATTTATAAAAATTACCAATTTTTATAAGAAAATTATGTTCCTGAATATATCTGCTTGCTTTTATGTTAGATATCCTGAGCAGCCTCTTCTCTGGCTGTTCATTTAGGAGCCTTGGTGCCTCAAATATTACACAGCAATGCTGTATGCATATTTTGTATGTTTTCACATGTATAAAATGGCATTGGGGTCTTCTGTTTAGGTTCTTAATTTTAGAAATAACACCTGTTCCATCTGAAGAACCTGAATTGCTATGATACATGTGCATGGACCTCTTTTGGGGGCTTTATACTGACCATTTCAGGCTCTTGCAGATGTCTAATACAGATACTTTGAAGTACCCTCTGTTACACTGGTACTTGCTTCTTCCCTGTGTTTTCTGGAAATAGAATTATTATATACAAATCACAGTGGCATCAGATTTAGCTGGAGATGAAAAACTGCATCTAACTAATGTTGCTTCCTTTCATTCTAGCAATTACTGTATGGTAAAAATGAGTTCAGCTGCCCACCTTTTACCCTAACACAGGAAAGTAGTCTCCTAATAGAAATCTAAATGAGCTGAGGTGTCCTATGCAGATGATACCTCAATTCTGAACTGTTTTACTGCTTCTTATAGCTTAAACCTACTTCTTAAATAACTGATTTTTTTTTTCCTAAAACCTTTTTTGCCTGATTTCACAATAAAATATTCCAAGTTATTCATCTCATGGCATTAAAGTTTAGAAATGTACATGGAAGAAATATTGAGAGACCTGAGCCAGCAAAGGTTCTCCTGCTTATTTAGTTAACAGCTAGACAAGACCATGTCTCACTTACTAATCTCAATTGTGGGTTTACTGGGTGGGTTTATTTTTCTCCAGAGACCAAGATATGTTCTGAAAAAGGCATAATATACTCATAATACTCTCACAAGGTACATAAAAAGGCACACAATATTCTGATCAGTCCAGCATTACTTGACAGATGGCCATCACACAGAATCAATCTGAAAAACGTGATTTTTTTGTCACTCTATGCAGAAGATGACCTTCAGGCATCTTATTAATGTTGGTAGGAGTATAGGAGGAAAAACTCTTCTGGTAGTTGTATCCTTCATGTTAGTCCCTGAAAAATTAATCTATTAATCAAAGATTTGCCATAATTCACTCCCGTTTCTTGGTATTAACTAGGCAGTGAAATGGCAGAAAAGGGCAATTTCTTCTTCAAGTAGACAGCTTTATTTTGTCCAATTTTCTTGACAAAGCATAAATTTTAGGGAGCAGTGACTCCAAATTTGTGCAGAAAGGGGACTGAAGTTGGAAAACTGCAGCCGTTTGAAGGATAGTGTAACTGAAGGGAAGGGTATGAAAACCTTTCATATCTTCTGCAAGGCCTTTCAAATGCATTGACATCGCACTTTTGTGCACTGAAGTAAAGTCTTCTACAAAGTATCCAAAATGCAGTAGACCAGCAATGCTGGAAAAAGTGATTTTTGGAAAAATAAGCTTGCCACAAACTCTGGGTGATGAAAATTTGGAGGTCTGCATACTTTATAGGGGACAAGGTACTTCAAAATCATAAATGCTTGGAAAATTGACCTACCAAATAGTAGAGATAAGAGAAGGCTTGGAACAGTATGAATGAAGTAGACCTTACTTAGCTCAAGATAGAATCTTATAGCTGCCAATATTTCAGTAGCTACTCTGAGGTTGAACTTGACTGTAGTGAAGTGTCTGGTAAATATTTAATGAAGCTTTTTTAGAAAGATTGATTCTATTCTTACTTTCTTGTACCTCATTATAATGTTTAAAATATCACTAGCTTTTCTTTCAAAATAGCCAATGGTAACATTGAAGAATATTGCATTTAAAACACTGGAAAGCACTGTTGGGACACAGTAAGGTTTTAATTTATAGCACAATAAATGAACATTCTGCTATTGTTCTTTGGAGGAGAGCGAGGAGTGCACATTTGATTTACTTCATCTGTCTTGGCCAGCACATGGAAGTGAGCCTAAATTAAGTCTTTAGCCATTAATCCTGCCTGATTTGCCAGAAGGTTTTCAGGGCTCCAAACCCTGACTTGACAGGTTAGTGAATAGATATTAATCTGGGTTTCTTGAGCAAAAATCTGCAATTGTCCAGATGTCCTTTATCTTCTTGACCTCCATCAAGTTGAAGGTAATTATTTTTTAGCCAGATCAATAGTGATTGAATTTTGTGGGGGGGAGTGTAGGAAGTGGCTGTTTAGATGTAGCCTGTTTTTAAAGTGCCCAGTGCAGTAACAATCCAAACTGCATTTCCACCCCTTTTTCAGACCACAAATCTCTGTCCTGTGTTTACAGTTGTAGGTTATGGTTCTACACTTGCATGTTTCAAAATATGACTTTTTTGTGCAGTCACTGTTTTTGTGGTTATGTCACCGCCTTTGTGGACCAGTTTTTGCCCCTGCAGAATGGAGTGAGGGTGTCAACCTTGTTTCTAAATGAAAAAGATGTTGTCTTGTTCTGTGCCTATGCTAGATTCTTTGGTCCTATCCTACCCTTCTTTTTATCCCCTCATATTCTTAATAGTTAAAGTTAGCAAATGTTTTGCAATGTTCTGAATCTCAAAGCTCCTACAACTAACAAAGGCAGCCAGGCAAAGAAAAGAGATCCCTGCTGATGAACACTGTAGAATAATCTCAAGGTGAGAGGAATTGATTCTTTGGTCAAATTTATCTTATGTATAGCATCTCTGACATCTAATAAAGGTTGAGTTATATTGCAGTTTTGGGAATAATTAGTTAAAAAGGCACAAGACACAAATCAGTGGGAAAGCTTGCTTACCTAGTTTTAATACTGATTATAGTTTTTTATAAGACCATGTTATGTGGGAGTTGTGATGTGTATGTTTGTGTCAATAAATGTCTGTTTAGCTTAGTGTTGTAATTTTTTAACGTATTCCTATGGAGAAGGATTCTTATATGATATAATCGTTTTGTCTGAATAGTGGCATACTCCAGATGTGGAATGAATGTGGTAAAGTAACAGGAGGGAGAGCTGTTGGTTTCCCAGAGCAAGAATGGTAGAAGTACATGCTGCAGACAGACCAAAAGCTGATTTCTGTAATCCCATGTCTTCCCCCAGAGAAATATAGGTGGCAGTGTGATAGTTCATTGTTAAGGGCTGTTCAGCACAGCCAGCTCTCAAATTGTAAACACAACGTATTGCTGATATTGGGAAGGTGATAAAATGTGCTTTGTTTGTTTGCCAGTATTTGGAGAGTAATGGCTTTTGTAGGCCCTAGGAAGTTTTCATCAGGCATCAAACCATTTCAGGGAAATTGGACATACTTGGTTACCTTTGGATAGTGTCTACATTGTGAAATCAAGCATAATCATTGTGATGGAATTATATAGGAAAGTCAGTAGCTCTAGGAAAATATCTTGGCAGGGCAGGGATTATACTGCCTTGAAAGGCATGACAGTACCAAGATGTTGTTTCTGAGAGTTCAGGTCTAATCATGATTTAAGTGGAGCAAACACCTTCTTCAAAACAGTGTTTGGTTCTTCTATTGATCTATTTATTTTCACCAAAAATGACCTCAAAAGGTGACCTGCTCTGATAAGATACGTTGGCTTGTTTTACATGCTAACAGTGCATAGTTAGATTACAATAAAACTAAGAAAACTTAGAACCCCAGGGTGATCACCAGTTCCCATAAAACTAAGACTGTCTCAAGCAGGGCAGTGTTCATAGTTCTTAAAGAGGATAAACCTAATCATTTTTCCTAATTGTTGTTTTTCTGCTATGATCATTTGCAACAAATTGTGTTTGTCTCTCTTGCCAGCTGCATCTCTTTTCAATTATTACTACTGTTACTTGTTCTTGTCAATATACAGCAGAAGTTTTCCTGTCTTTCCCTCTAATAGTATATTTATATTTCAGGGAGTTGATTCATTTGCTCACTCACCTTTCTGAAGCTCTGCATGAAGCACAACTTAAACTCATACTGGTCATCCCTCCTGCAGTTGCAGCAGGGTGAGTATTCCTATTTAGTTTCCTGGTGAGAAATACTTTCTTGTCTAATAAACAGTAAGTTCAAAGCTTTGTTTAAAGCTGTGCAGTTTAAAAGAAGAAATAGTTATTTGGGTTTGATTGGTAGTCCTTTCTCCATGCATGTTGCACTGAATATTCTTGGTAACTATGTGCACTCATACATACCTCTTTATTTTTGATGTGATAGAGGACCCAACAAGGAGAGATGCTATGCTGAACCTTGTTCTCCCCCACATTCCAGCTGGAGTGTTAGGAGAACAAATAGAGGGGCAGAATCCCCTCCCTTGAGCTGCTGGCCACAATTCCCCTTGGTGCACCCCAGGATGTGTGTGGCCAGCTGCAAGTGCACAGTTGGCAATGAAAGATTATTTTTTTCCCCCTCCAAGTTTCCTTTCTTTCTTTAAGCTGTTCAGCATCCTTATGCCTGCATACGAAAACTCAGTAATGTAAGTCAAGCATTGTTAGGTACTTTTTCAAATGAAAATCAGTAGACAGCTAACGAAAAATATGACAATTTCTTATTTTTCTCACCTTGGGTTCTACAGCAGTATGGATAGGCTCACAGCCAATACAGATTATGACAGATTAACAGCACAGTTTCGGGACAGTGTTGCACAGCCTCCTAAATTTCATGTAGGCTGTCATATCTTTCAGTGTACATTCATTTTCAAAGTGCCAAAAAGGCTGAGAAAATTGAATGCCTGAGCAGTCTGGTAAATGTTGCTTCTGTGGCTGGACTTTTCAATGACCTCAAGTTTTTGTTGAGTTTTATGTGGAGGTCTTGTAGCATGTTGGGGAAATAAAGCATTTCTGCTTACAGCTATCTGTGCAGACTTGAATGCGTACGGCTGAAAAGATTCAGGGATCCTGTAGTAGGTGACTAAATGGTTGTCCGTGTGCTGAGATCAGTTAACATCTGGCCTATAATTCTGGTGTCACCTCTTCTGTAGGTTGGTAGTGTAACCCCATCCAAACTAATCCCTGAATATAGGTACTTCCTACCATCTTAAGACTTTAAGCCCAGAACAGTATCTACCTAGTTTTGTTTTTCAATAGCTGCCTGAAATCTGATTGCAGTGTATTTTCTGTAAAGTATGTACTTGACGGTATTTCTTGTTTCTTTATCTTTTCCTCTGTTGCATGATTAATATCCTTACAAGAAGTAGCTAGTTTAATGCAAAAATCCTCTGCTTTTGTGTGGGGCTGGCAACACAATTTTGATAGGCAGAGAGAGAGAGAAACAGTGTTGAAAACTGGCAAAAGAAAACAATAAATTCCTTGTAAATTGGTAAAGTAGGCATTTGTAAAATATTACCCATTCAGTGCCCTTTAATTGAAGGCCTAGCTGCATTTTGAGGAGATTCCTTCCTATCCCTCAAGCACCTATGGTTTTACCTTGGCTCTGCATCATTAATCCTCTAATTTCTTGCAGAATTCTCTGGAAAATTGTGGGCTGGTATGCCTTTGCATCACATGGCTTTTCAGTGGTGCTAATAAGTACTTTGAGTTTCTTCTATTTGGGTAAATCAAAAATAATGCAAAATTACTGTGTCTTATCTCTTGTCTGTCATTTATTCCAATCTTTCATGCTGCCCTCTTGTGTCCTACTTCTCATCCCAATTGATAGTTGCTTTAAAAAGTAATTTTCTGTTGCTATTAATTTTAGTCTATTACAGGTGAAGCAAAAGAGAACATTTTAAAACATTTTTCTAAAATGCCTTATCAGTCACTGCATCACACAGATGCTTTTTAAAATACTAATGCATTCTCTGGTAGAATTTAAGTAATTGCTATAAATGGTGTTTGTGGTTGAAGTGCATTTGTGCTTTTGGTGGTAGGGAGAAAGTGGAGAATAGCACAAACCTCAACATTCCTGCTCACTGTGATGCCTACTGATGTTACCAAGGTCAGCCAGAGGGACCTAAATGTGTTTTGTTTCTGTAAGTCATGTGGGGATCTACACTCTGTTTTTTCTAAATGCCTAAACAAGATGCTGGAGCCTCTGTAAAACTTCAGTGTTCTTAAACATGTTTTGCCTGGACCAGAATTTGCATTTTTAAGGTAACTATCTTTCAGGACTATTTCTCTGTTGAACAACATGCTGATGTTGTTGCCTCCTGCTGTTCTGCAAATTGACACAATAGTGAGGTCAGGGTTCTGAAATCTTTCTGAGCTGGGATTTAGGGATGCACTGTTAGAGCTGGAAAGAGATGCCTATCTGAAGTGCAATTTTTAACCTGAAATAAGTTTTACATGCCGATTACCTGTTATGTACCCATTTACATGGGTGTTCCTAAATGGCCTGTTTGTAGAAGAGCTGAGAGAAATAACAGCTGTAATTTTTATAAAAGAATCTTAAAGTCTCATTCCTCTAAACCAATTACATATATCTTTATGCATTCCTAAAGTTTTTGAGATTTATCCATAGACCTTTATGGCCCAGAAGAATTCAATAATCACGTTCTCTTCAATCAATGATCTTACATAACCTACTGTCTGTGTCTTCCATGTATGTGTTCTTACTGCATTAACTAGAAAAAGCACTAAGTTTTTGAGTAATAGGTTGTTGAAATATGTTCATAACTTACAGAAACATGTTAAAACACAGTGTCCATGTATACTTTAAAGCTTAGAAGTATATTGGATTTAATAATATCAATAATCATAGAAATTTTCTTTCTACCTTACTTGACTTTTTGGTTAGCAGCTGTACTTGAAAATGTTTGATTTATAGGATGCAAGGCTTGAACTGAAAGTGCCTCCTACTGTGTATTAAATATCTTGTGTCTTGAAACTCACTTTGGGTTTTAACACTTCAACATGGTTGAAAGTGGGCTTTTTGCATCTTATGTTCTTTAGTTTTTGGAATCACTTAGCCTGTTAATCAAAAATACAGCAAAAGGCAGGGAAATAAGTACCATCAAGAATCAAATAATGTATCAGAGTTCAGCAGCTGGCAACAGACTGATAAAGGAGACATGAGCTGTATGTGGAGCATTCTACCCATCTGGGATGTTAGGAGCTGAAACATTGTCCCTTTTGTGTTCTACCCTGATTAAAATTTAAAGAGAGCATAGTCAAATGTAAGCAGTTTATTTAGGAATTTGTAATTTAGACTCTTTTGATATGCATTAAGATCAAAGCAGTCTGTCTGCAAATGTTATCTGAAAGGAGACATTTAAGAGCTAAAAATACTAGTTTGCTGAGGGAAAACCCGTCTGGAAAATGCAACACTGCACATGAGATCTAGTGTGGGATGCAGGAGGAAAACATGTTGGATCATCTGTTTAACTTCTCAAATTCAACTTTTGCAACAAAAACTAAGTGAGACTGATCCTCTGCTGAACCTTGCTGTAGTAACTTGAAGGTTCCAGTGGTGCCTTTGAATTTTGGTTTGCTTATAAAATGTTCTGGACTAAAAGAAAACTTCACTCTTTTTAAATCCACACGTTTTATAGCTTTTTACAACATTAACCAGAGGCAGCTGAGCTGGCATAATCAAGAGTAATCAAGAGCTGGGAATGTGTTTGGATGCTGATTGGGAGGCAGGAATCTCTCTAGCAAGCTTTACAGTCACAGAGAATGCATGTAGAGCTCCCATGATGAAAAAACAGAGACTGAGATAGTTTTCATCCACCTGATGTCTAGGAATTGCATGATTTTCCTGCAAATGTAAATGATTTACAAGAGAAAGGAACAGCAGGAGCCAAAAGCTGTTCTTTGTGAAGTGTGTGTGTAATTCTCCCTTGTGGACTGGAGTCTTGCAGTTGCAGATGTCTGAAGAGATGTGCAAGGACTGCAGTGGTGTGTAAGTGGTTGCTAAAGCAGATGGTTTGGTGAAGACTTCCACTTTGTCTTTCAACAGAATGTCTCAAAAAGTTAGAATTTTACTACTTTTAACATGCATGGACATTGATGCATGTATAAACTATGGGTACCATTTCTATAAGGTCAGTGGGTAGCCAGGCATATTCTGTCCGTTGCTGATGGTGAGTAACTCCATTGGTCCTGCTAATCCTGGTCTTGATTAAATTCCTGCCTTAAATATATGCAATTCAGTGTTTTATTGTGCTGCAGAAATTATACTGGGGAAAAATGTGTGGATGTTTTTATAATGATTTCACAAGCCTCTTTCCAAATAGGATAGCTGTGCTGGAGTGAGCTACCTTTATGCCTAAATATGCACTTGCAAAACTGTGCTGGGGGAGAAAAATAAATATGGCAAATGGACCTTGAAATTCGGTTGTACCTGTTCTCATAAGTCATAGGCATTGGGTTGGTTATTTTGTTTCTCTGTACTTAAATTATTTATAATATTAGGGATCTATTCTCAAAGCAAAAAGTGAGACTTTGTATAATAACTCTTTTCTGTCTGCAGGTAAATTGAATTTCATCTGACTAGATTATTACATGTTTTGTCCAGGTTCAGCAACCATTTTATCCACTGTTTCCCAATTACCAATTCCCAGTTGTCAAGAAAACAAAGAGTAAATAAAATTGAGTTTATTTACATAAGCTATCATTGGAGGGAGCATCAGTAATGTTCCTGTTTTTTGCTGTCCTGAGAAAGAACAAAGACAAAAAGTTCCTGGAAGCTGTAGGTACAGTGTTGTCTTCACAGGGGTTCTTAATATATCCATGGTTGCATAACCATTGCCTTCCTTTGTAGTTTATTACATTTGTAGTTTATTACAGACTTCAGACATATGATATAAATATGTAAAGCCTCAGTATACACTCATTAAAAGTTGCTCATTTTGTTAAACGCAGTGTTAAGTAACTCTGTATTTAGGTTGTTAGTGATGGCTTTCCTTGGACTTTTATCATCCCCTGAAGTATAATCCTTTGGACAAAGTAGAAATAAGTGGCCTTGGATGTGTCACTTCATAATGCAATACTGTACTCTTTATTGGCATTTTGATGGTTAGGATATGCACTAGGCAGTTTATCCTGTGTGATGGATATCCTTTTAACACACCTCT